AACTATCTCTGCTTGCGGATGAAGCAAAAGAACCCAGCCTTGGGAAGGAGTAGCCCCTCACTTTGAGGCTAGCTGTTAGGAGAATTACTGAATTAAACAGCCTCGGCGACTGTTTCTGCGGTTGGTACATAGGACGATTTCTTGGTTTAAGGTACAAGACCTACTCAACGGCTCAGCGCGTTGCTAGGTATTGAGAAGAAACCGTGCTTCACCAAGCTTATTAAGGAATTTTGGGATTTTTTTTCTTGCAACTCTGAAGAAATGCTCGTAATAGCTTGAAGCCTCGTCAAGCATCATTTTCCAACAAAGTTTCTTGTCGACCATAGAAATAGCCGCCGAGACGGTTTAATCTAAAAATTTTCCTGAAAATTGAAAAAGAGGGAAAGAATCAATCAAGTTTCATATACAAAAGTCTCTATCATGTAAAAATATTTTAATGATAAAATTATATTTTACCATATTGATACTTTTGTGGGGGACAATTTGTTACTCCAAAATATCATTCTTGGGGTTAATACGATTCTACATCCGGAGCAGATGCTCTGAGCACTCAAACAGTGTCATGTGGCACACAAAGTTGAATGTATATTTTTATTTATTATTATTTTTTATAAATATCTTTTCAAATCTAACTCTTTCTTCTTTTGTTATTTTTTTTTTACCTTTTTTTTTTTCTACTTGCCACGCAAAGCTGAATGTATATATATATTTTTTAAATATCTTTTCTTTTGTTCTTTTTCTTTACCTTCTTGTTTTCTTTTTCTTCTTCTTTTTTTTTTTTTAATGAAGTGATGTTTTTTATAAATTTGTTATTAAGACTGTCAGCGTAGACAATCAAACATAAAATATGTAAATTCTTACCAAAAACTTGTGAAGGAATTACAATGCACAGTAGATTTCGTGGCCCTCCACCACCAAATCGCATACCCATCAACACGGTAAAATTTGACCTACAAAGAAGTTAATAGCCTCTACACATTAGGAAAATTAATGTAGAGAAGTGGTGAAAAAAAATAGAAAAATGGCTAAAATCCTTGCCAAGGAACCAAAAATCCTAAAGCCAAAAAATAAATAAATAAATAAAAATATTCAAACAACTCCGAAACTACAGCTCCGGAAAGTTCATAACAATGAGCAGTGAGTCAATTTCAAAATGATTATAAATTGCAGTACAATCTCCACCAACATTCAGTTGCGCATTTTATCTCGCGACGGACAACCTTTTTTTTTTTTTATATTTATTGCTTGTGTGTATTGAAATTAGGTTGCAGCAATAATTTGGGGATGGACTTGTAAATTTGGAGAAATTTAAATATTCACCCACAAAATATTAAAAAAAAATTAGAAAAAAACAACGAAGAAAGAGATTATTAAAAAATAAATAAATAAATAAGAACATTATTTCAGTAAAAAAAAAAAGAAGAACAAGAAAAAAAAAAGAATCAAGAAGAAAGAGACTATTTAGAAAGATAACAATTAAAATTAAAATTAAAGGATATACATTCATCTTTCTGTCATGGGCGGAGTTTGAGTGCCCGGAGCATTTTCTCCGGATGAAGGATCGAATTAACTCATTTTTGCAGCAAAATCACTTCAAACTCAAATGATGAGAACCAGGTGGCCCAACCACCTTGTCCCAAAGAAAAACCTGGTGGCCCATCCGATTCATCCCGTCTATGTGAACCACAGTCTAGGTGCGGGATCCAATTTAATACCAATCCGATTATACCAAATCAGAATTGGATGCATTCTTTAATCAAACAAAACAACTGTATCGTGGAAAACAATGGGAATAAGAGAGGAATTTTAGGAATGGAGCAAACAAAAAGAAAAATAATTCTTTGAGGGAGATTAGAATATAGATAATATAGGCATTAAAAATTAAATTAAATATCATATATTGGAAGAAAATAAAATTCTGATATAATAAATGTGTGATATTTAATTATGAACATATGTTAATTTTTGTACAATAAATATCAATCATTAATGCAAAAATCTGCTTAAAATAGAAGATATCATACGAATATTACGTGCATAATAGTCATAATAAACTTGACAGCAAAATGAATTAATCTTGTCAATAAAGAAAGTATTTAGATTAATATCTTCCGAGAAAGAAAATAATATAAAGATCTTGGTGAGAAAAGAAGACGCACATTCAAAAATGGATGAAAGATTGTAAAATCTTCATGTTAGCCAATCAGGACACGCCACGTGGCATCATTAAAAAAGGAAGCTGAGGCCACCCCTCCCCTATAAATAGGGGTCATGACTAATTCATTTGACACACCGAAGTTCATTTAAAGACTCATGCAAGGGTAAGTCTCTCTAGACTCTGTGCATTATTCTTCATGTTCTTCGTGTCCTTCGAAGCGTTCTTCGTCGAAAAGTCACCAAGTTGGACAAATGATCCAATATTGGTTTACGAATCGATAAAGTTAACGTTCTTCGTCGTATGCTCAGGCCGGAAGAAGGATCAAAGCTCCCAAAAGCATTGAGAAATTCGTTAAAGCCAAGAGAAAGTCTCCAAAGATCCTCCAAAAACTTCAAAATGTTCATCGCATTCTTCACCAAAGCATCAACCTGTCCTCTTCGATCCTAAAGTTAAAGGGACGCGCCGCCAAAAGCATTATGGAGTATCAAATCCATCTCCTCAAAGATCAAAGCATCGGATAGTCCAAAGAAAATATCAAATCCAGAGACGAAAATCAAAATCGCTCACACGGAAACCAAAGCCCTCCAAAAGCCAGCAAAGTTAAATCAAAGATCAAATCCACCTCGGCAATGATCAAAGCCCAAAATTTATCCAAAGTCATAAGGATAAAAAGTGTCATCACGGAAACCAAAGCCTTCAAAAGTCCGGCAAAGCCAAACTGGAGTACCAAATCCACATCCACAAAGATCAAGATCCTAAATCCCTCAAAAGGAGTCTTCAAATCCAAAAACGCCAATCAAATCGTCCATATGGAAACCAAATCCCTCCCAAGTCCCGCAAAGCCAAACCGAAGACCAAATCTTTTCGGATCAAAGAAGCCATTCAAATCCAAGTTGGAAAACAAATCGACCCAAAAAAAGAATCAAATAATCTATTTAGATAGTAGGACCCGCTTTAAATCCAAATTAAATACAATTTGTATAAATTTTTGTGTTTATTAACAATAACACAATTTTTTTGTCTACAAATAACATGTGTTTTTTCTCTTTGGAATTTTCACGTGCAACCCAATTCCAATACTCAATCTTCATTCCTAGTTCCTCCGATTAATTTTCTTTTTCTTTTTCTACGTACTCCTTTTCTTTTCAATTACTTTTATTGTTCCTTGCTTTATTATTGTTTCGTTTCGGTGATCCATCGCTAATTCGTTCGATAATTTATTCCACGGTTTCAAGTTTTTTCTTGAAGAAATCGGGAAAATTCATCTAATTTTTTACTGATTTGAACCGTCAAAAACATTTTTAACTATAGCACTATACAAAAATTTAGACATTTTATTTGAAATATATTGATGAATCCTTTTATCTTCATTTATTATTATTATTATTATTATTATTATTATTATTATTATTATTGTATAAAAGCAAATTATCAAGAAAAATAATAGAGTTATCTTTTACTCTTTCTCTAAACATGTATACTTTTTCTAATACTTTTTCAATCCTACATCTTCTTTCTAGTTTTGTTATTTAGCTCTATCTCACATTTTTTTCGTCGCATTTCTATTTTAGAAAATGTCTATATATTTTAATTATATTTTAAATTTTATAATTTATAAATTTTAATCTTAATTAAATTAATTAATTGTATATCACTTTCGTTCTAAGCAACCTGCAACATTTCATTTTTTATTTATGTCAAACTCACTGCAACATTTTCAAATTTAGAAATAATTAATAATATATATTGATATACACTTCACTTTATCCCATCACATTACTCAAATAAAAAATAAATAATCATTTTTCTTTTCAATCACATCATTTAATATTCAAATTATCTCAAATTATCATACTTAATATTTCCCACCTAAATTTCCGTGCCAAATACAAATATTGTACGATGTTTAGGACGGAAGGAGTATATTTTTTAATTATATACTAATTATATCAATTTTAAATTACGTATCTGGATACATGCATAAATTTTCACATATATACATACACAATTATCAATATCATGAAATAATAAGGGTTTGTTTGTTAAGATGCATAAATCATAATTTTTATCTTAGAAAATAAATAAATTAATATGAATAGTGAATTATCATGTCGAAATTTTGCCTTTTATGTGAAAATGTGTGCTTAGCTGTTTTTTTTTTTAAATAGTTATATGCAATATTTTATTTGATGAAATAATATATATTTATAAAAAATTATAAAATTTGTATATAAAAATTTTAAAAATTACCAAACCAATAGAATCTTTATGTATTTTTTTTTTTGAACCCATGATCTTCCAGTTACGGTCACAAGTCCATCCCCACACCACCAGGCAATGTACTTATTGATTTATTTGTTTTTACTATTTTTTTTTTATAACATGAGAATCTGTTGCCGCTATTCGAAAGTGCACACTGGATAAACCCTAGGCCAAATCTAATAGCCTGCCGGTCCAACAAAACAAATCACACTAGATGAACCATGTGTGATAGACAAGATTTGGAGGCGTCGGAATTTGAACCATTATTACTAATTTTATTTACATGGGATGTGAATGATATAATAAGCTTATATTCATATATTTATATTAATATATATATATATATTATAGACACCATTTACTAAATAGTTTAAATTTCTTGATATAGAAAACTTCAAAACATAAGATAGTACCTTCATTTTTCACAATTTAACCAAATTTATGTAACTTGGATTCACTAATTGCATAATTGTTCATTTTATTTTGGATTTTCAACTGTGTAACAATCAAACCCATCCCGCAGTTACCCATAACTAAACTTTGAGCACTTGTTTTTAAATCAAACCTCATCCCGTAAGGGATGGCCTGGTATTGTAGGGGTTGGACTTGTGGCCATGAGGTAATGGGTTCAAACTATTCACGTCACCTGTCACACATGGTTCGCCTAGTGTGACTTTTTCGTCGAGCCTGATTTGCAGGGTATTAGGTTCGGGGGTTTACCCGGTAAGTAAAATATGAATTGCCCAAAACAAAGAGAATATTATTTGTAAAAGCAAACACAACTAATAGAAAACTAAATGGCCATATCACCTAACAAGTAACTAGATAAATTTGTATCTATTTGGCACCTACTCTTTTCGTGATGTTTTTGTGTTTAACTTACCTTTAATATTACTTCACAACCTTTATATCATAAAAGTTAGATTTTATTTAATAAAGCCTTTCTCAAACAATCCTCAATAAATACTCTAGTAAAGAGATAAATTGGAAATAGTACAAATTAAAAGTTCTATTTAATATCATACTTTCAAATCTAGAAAACATACAAAATAAAAGTTCTGTTTGACAAAAGAAAAATTAAAAATACAAATAAAAATAAAAATAAAAATAAAAATTGTGGGCTCAATAGTGTGTAAAATAAGATAAATAATTTTTTTTTGACATGGTTGCATGTTAAGAAGTCTATATAAACCCCATGGTATATATTAATTTGAGGAAAATATAAAATAAGAAAGCAATATACTTGTTTGCAATGACAAACAATTTCGTGATTTCTTGTTTGTTTGTCAATCTGATTGTTAACTTCTTATTAGGTAATGGTGAATTTTAAGTTTATTATAAGTTGCTGAATAAGTACTAGCAATATATTTTCCGACTGTTACTAATTAAATATTAATTCGTTTTTTTTTGTAGGTTTTTATGCTCATGCGGTGCCTTACGATTATACATTCATACAAGAGGCAAGTTTAATTTCAAACATTATTTTGAATTCAAATTTCTATTTATAAAACACTTAGATTGACAGACGTACTTTTTGTCGTAAATTTCTTAGTGTTTGGCGAAACCGTTAGTTCCACAGTATAATGGAGGCATAGTTATAAATCCTGAACTTAATGAAGGATTGAAGGGGTGGGAAGCATTTGGAGAAACAACTGTAAAGCATGTAGAATCAAACGACGGTAACAAATATATTGTAGCTGCGATGAGACAACAACCTTCTCATAGTTTCTCACAAAAGTTTAATTTGAAAAAAGATTTTTTCTACACATTCTCAGGTATTTTATATCTTATTTTCTTATCTCTTATGTATATTTTGGTAGTTCAGTTAGTATAGTACTTCCTTCCAATTTAAATTATCATTTTTACCATATTCGTCTGTCTATTTAAAAATATCACTTATCTATTTTTAAAAAGTACACTAATATAAAAATACCCTTTAACATTTACTTAAATTACAAACATACGATTACATATACAATTACTTTATACATAAAGTCAATGAGCAAAAATGTCAAAATTTCTTAGACACTTTTACTAACCAATATTATTTTTTAATTTACTACAAAACTCCAAATGACCCATTTGAATTAAGAGGGATAGAATATTATTTATGTAGCATTTCTATAGCAAGTGTAGTGATTGATTATTATCTTTTCTTGACTAGTATAGTATTTCCTCTATAATAAACCAATATTTTTATTTATTTATTTATATCTTTTTATAATAAGTCTTTCTTTCTTCACAAAATATATATATACTATATTATTTTATTATCTTTTATTTTTTTATTATTAAATACTTCATCCGTTATTCAAATTTATACTCACTTTTCTTTTTAGGTTGTCATTAAAAAATATTTTTATTTTTTTAAGTAAAAAATTATTACATTTTTGTATTTTTTTTACTATAAAAGGAAAATGTAACTATTATTACTCACTTTTATTAAAATCCGTGTCCGATCAAATGAACACACATTTACATGATGAATGAAGTAATATATATATATCATATTAAAATTTGTATCTAAATTAAATAAAATTATTTTTACATGATGGACAAAGTATTTTTTATGTAGCGTGGTTGCGAGTAAGCCGCGGTAATGCTGATGTAGCAGCTGTCTTTAAGACACAAAATGATAATGAGAAAAAGAAAGAGAGAGAGACAGATATTAGTATTGGATGGGTAAAGGCCCGAAGCGGCTGCTGGTCGATGCTCAAAGCCGGCTTCGTCGTTGCCACATCCACAACCGCCCGCCTTATCTTTAAGGTTTCAATAAATTCATTCCATCTTATCCAATTTAAAATTAATTAGCATTAATTAATTAATTAATATTATTATAAATAATTAATTAAATAAGTACGGCTGCAGAGCAACAATACAGAAGTGGAGATTTGGGCAGACAGCATATCACTGCAGCAGTTTACACAGGAAGAATGGAGGTCGCATCAGCTCAGCAGCATTGAGACGGTACGACACCGTTTCTCGTATACACGTAAAAATTTCATGCTTTCACCAAGTTATTTTTATGGCACCATATATAGAAATATTATATTATAATAAAATATAATATACATGTATTAATATAATATACTAATACATATATATTATTCACTATAAAAAAGTCAATAGTTGAAAATAAAATATTATCTTTTATATTTTTATATAAATTTTTTATATTTAATATAAAAATATATTTATTCAAAAATATTTAATCAAATACTCTTATCTTACTTTCTAATTTTCTTCTACGCATTTGCCTTAAAATTACTATTATGATATTACTTATATTATTGATGTTATCTTTTATTATTCAAATTTATATTTATATTTTTGTCATTCATAATATTCACATTTCTTAATATTTAAATATTTTTAATAAATTATATTATTTTTATTATTCAATAATCCATCCGTCCATTAAAATTAGTTTATTTAGACTCGACACAAAAATTAAAAAAAATAAATATTTTATTAAAAAATAATATATAATTGAGAGTATTTTTGAAATTTTAATTAAAAAATAAAATAAATGAAGATAAAAAATATAATAAAATTAGTGATATTTATCGTAAATAAGTGTTGAATAGAGGATAATAATTAAAAATTGTTTTGTTGACTTTGCCAAAATTATTAATAAGATAAATTTAATAGACAAACTAAAATGAGTGAATAAATTTAACAAAGTAAAAGGAGTGAAAATAAATTTGACGGAGAGTATCAATATAAAATAAACATTATTTAATACTTATTAATATAAATAATTACTATAATACAATTATAATTAAAATAATTTAATTAAAATTAAAAAAATTATATATTATCAAAACTGATGAATGGAGACAGTAATGATTAATGACGAACTCAATCCAAGGACAACTACGTGGCGTCCATGAATTTTTCCATTTCAGGCACGCAAGAGGCGCGTGAAGTTCCGAGTCCTGGACCAGAAGAACCGCCCTGTCCAAAACGCCACCGTTTCGTTCAAACAAATCAAACCCAAATTCTCCCTGGGCTGCACCATAAACCCTAACGTCCTCACCAATGCCGCCTACCGGAATTGGTTCACCTCGCGGTTCAAATTCACAGTCTTCGAGAATGAATTGAAATGGTGAGCGCTTGCAAACTAAATTTCAGTCGTTATAATTTCTTTCTCGGATCTGAAAAATAAATAAATCAAATCAAATCCAAACAGGTATATCAACGAGAAAACCCGAGGAGTCGAGAACTACGCCGACGCCGACGCCCTGACGGAATTCGCCAAGGCGCAGGGAATCACGATTCGCGGACACAATGTCCACTGGGATAACCCCGACCTCCAGCCGCCGTGGGTCGGAGGACTGTCGCCGGCCGATCTGGCGGCGGCGGTGGATAAAAGGATCAATTCCGTCGTCGGAAGGTACCGCGGGGAGTTCATCCACTGGGACGTGGTGAACGAGAATCTGCACTTCAATTTCTTCGAGAGCAAGCTTGGGGCGAACGCTTCGAGCATCATCTACCAGAAGGCGAACATGATAGACGGCGAGATGACGCCGTTCCTCAACGATTTCGGCACCATCGAATACGGTGACGACGCGGCAGTGTCGCCGGCGAAGTACTTGCAGAGGATAGCGGAGATTAGGGGTCAGGGGTATGAAGGTCCTTTGGGCATCGGATTGGAGGGACACTTTGGGTTCCTGAGCCATTCCAACGCACCCAATCTGCCGCACATCAGGTCTGCCCTGGATCAGCTCGCCTCCGCTAAGCTGCCCATTTGGGTTACCGAATTTGATGTCGGCCCGGATCCAAATCAGGTACTCTCTCTCTCTCTCTCTCTCTCTCTCTCTTATATAAGAAGTATTCAATTTTATTTTTTTTTAAAGTAATTATACGTCTATTTAACATTATAAATACTGTTACAATTTATTTTATATTACACAAATGTCATTACTTTATATTAACTAATAAGATTATTTTATTAGTTTCTACTTTATTTCTATTATATTTCAATATAATATAATTCCTCCGTCCCAGAATTATGAATTATAGTCTGAGTTGTGTTTGACAAGATATTTAAAAAATATTAATATTATATTGATAGTGGATAAAAAATACGGATAAAATACTTTTTTTTTCTTGTGAATGTATTAGTGTAAAAAGTAGTGGCAATTGTGTAATAATAATGAAAAACTAAGACTAGTTTAAAGTGATATAGTTATTTATGAAAATCAAACTATTTTGAGACGGACAAAAATAATAAACAATATTATTGTATTGGACAGAGGGAGTATTAATATTTATAAAACTCTGATAAAAAGTAAACGGATATATAATTATTGGAAGAAAGAGTACTGTTTATTATGTTTTTTTATTATGTTTTGACCCTTTTAACTATTTTTGTGTTATTAGGTGTTTTTAATTTATTGTTTTATATTTTTCAAATTATAAATTAGATATTCATATTGCAAGAAAAATATATATGTTATTAATAAAATATTGCATAATACAAAATAAATTAATACTATTATATTATACACAAATATTAAATATAAAATTAAAATAAAATATAAGTACAAATAGTTTTTTTAAATATGATTGTGATGTTATCATAATTTTTTATTTTATTTATTTATTTTGTCATAAAATATGTTACGTTAAATCAAATTAAATAATTTATTATTATTATTATTTAAAAATTGTCGATATGGTATCATTTGAATTTATTAAAAAGAAATTTGCGTTAATATGTAAATAAATAAAAATTATATAATTTTTTAAAAATAAGGAATAAATTTAGCAGAAAAATTGGAGAAAAATTTGAAAAAAAATTGAGGAAGGAGATGGTCTCATTTACGAAACCTCCACAAAATTGCCCCCTCATTTTTTAAGAGCACTAATGATTGAAGAGGTTAAATGTAGAATAACTATAAAAGAAGTCTAATTATGTAATTTACTTGTGTTTTGAAAAATCGGCATTATATTTTCTTATGATTTAAATATTGCATAGATTTTTTTTAAAAAAAGAATTTCTTGCTAATTTTGCCTCAAAATAATGAGGAAATTTGCACAATTTTCATAAACCATCACTTGGGTTTTTTTAGGTTGTTTTGTCTAAAATTAAGGTGCAAAAGCATAAGCTGTAGTAGGAATTAATTCAACAATCATCGAACTGCTACTAATTTCTTTTTTAATTTGAAGGCAAAATATGTGGATGAAATTCTCCGGGAACTACAGAGTCATCCGGCGGTGGAAGGCGTGATGATTTGGGGTGCATGGACTCCAAACGGATGTTACAGGATGTGTTTGACGGACAACAATTTCAATAATTTGGCGACGGGCGATGCAGTGGACAAGATTATGAGTGAGTGGAGATATGTACCAGAGTTACCTACAGCGGTAGATTCCAATGGATATGTTGAGGCTTCGCTATTTCATGGCCAATACGAAGCTCAAGTAAATCTTATGCGCAGCCTCGAAGGAGAAGGGGAAAGGGAAAGGGAAAGGAAAGGAGACGAATATACCAAACTTCATAACTTTGATGTCGAGGAAGCACCGGAAGAAGTGCACTTTAGGATCCACTTTGAATGAATCATGTAACAATCTATCTGGCTATCTTATCTATATCTGTTATCAAGGATTTGTTGTCCCAACCAAAATGCTAACTTCGATTTTTTATTATATTTACAAAAGGAATACACATAATAAAACTATAAATAAAATAATCGATAATCAATAATTTTTTACTATTTTTAAAATTTTTAAAACTTTTGGATTTGTTTATTTTAGCATTTTAGTTTGAGATATATTTTTTTTATGATGTGAAAAATTGTATTGGTAATATTGATTTTTTTAGAAATGAAATGTAAATATTACTTTTTTATATATTGAAAATTGTAATAGAAAAAAATTTAGTTTGATAACAAATTTTTATATCTCAAATTTTATACTCACTCCATTCCGTGAAATTAATCCACATTTTTTTTTGCCGTCCCGCGAAATTAGTCACACTTCTTAATATAGTAATAATTAGTAAATACTAATTACAACTACAAATTTATACCCCTAACTTTTATTGTTTATTTTATTTTAAATTTAAAAGTATGGCTAGAATTTTGAATAATAAATATTCAATATGATATAAATAAGTGTTTATGTGATGTCTAAAAATTTTAATTAATTTTTAATACTCCCTTCATCTCATATACCGTGTCTACACGTATTTTAAAAGAAGTGTAATCAGTAATATAGATGTGTAATTAAAAGATATATTAATAAAAAAATAAAAGTATAGTAATGTACAAAAAATAATAATAATCATTCACTGTACGACAACGAATGATAGCAACTTTATTTCAGTTTTATATATATACAAACATATCTCATTATACACAAACACCCGAAATTACATCCAACCAATATTACAAAAACTAAAAATATTATAAACTCCCTCCAAATTACCCATTTTTTCACACCCAACCAGAAAGGTAAAAAACTACACAATTTCCACCCATTTTTCACTTCTATCCACAACATGTGACATCAAAAAATAACAAAAAATAAGAGTGGGAATTCTATTTCATTTTCCTCCTAATCCCACTCTAAAATCAACAATAAATACCCCATTAATAGACAAAATTTTCCATTCCAACATTAACTACAACAACACACCAACTCCCACATTAACTACAAAACAACAGCAGGTTGGAATATTCCAACACAAGTCCAGATGACTACAACAATCAATATAGGCATGCCCAAGAAAGTTCTTATAGATTCAGAATTGAATCGGATGGTTCAGTTTATACTTCTTTCGTGCGATGAGAATGGGGAGCCATCCAAAGGGAAAATCACAGAGGCTACCACGTTATTTGGTTGCTCGGTCCGAACTATTTCCCGGCATTGGAAGGCTGCAAAAGAACAATTACAAAAAGGTGAAACAATTAATGTTAGTAGGGAAAAAAATGTGTAAGAAAAGACAAGATAATGCCCAACATGAATGCAATAGAAGCTTTATCATTGAGGCAAAGGTCTTCGATCAGAACTTTAGCAAAATGGTTGGATTGTTCGAAAACAACCATACACCGCTGGCTCAGGCCTCACACGAGTGCTATTCGGCTAGAACTGACAGAGGGAAACAAGCTCCAAAGGTTATGTTTTTTCATTAGAAGCCCTTGATGTTTATAGGTGTATCGAATCAGCATCATTTCGAAGCATGCATAATGTGGTACACATTGATGAAAAATAGTTTTATATGACAAAAGCTACACATCGATTTTACTTGACCCCTATGGAACAGGATCCACACAGAACGTGTAAAAGCAAAAATTTCATAACCAAAATTATGTTCATGTGTGTTGTATCCCGACCAATATGGGATCAAGCTAGGACTCTTCTGTTTGATGGGAAAATTGGAATTTTTCCATTCACAGAACAGGTCCCCAAGGTTGTTACGGCGTGGATTTAGGCACAGCGCCGTCGGACTGCCATATCGCCTAGGCGACACGGCGCCCAAAATGACGACAATATGGCGATATGGCGACTTACCTATTATAAGTTTCTAATATTTAATTATACAATATAAAATTATAACATCAAATCACTATATTTCAAATAAAATATCAAAATACCAAAACATCAAAGTATTAAACATAACTATCAAAATACTAAAATACCAATAGTTCAATATATTAAAGTTTCAAAACACCAAAAAAAACCCTCAGATTCTCAAATTTCACATCAATCTTCACTCTTCATTGTTCATATTATCATCTTCATTCTCATCCACCAAACATCTGTTAGAAGAGCCACGGCGACGATCATACACGATAGGTGGGCCTGAGGATTCACCAACACCTCTACTACGAAGGTTGGAATTATTAAGATTACTTGAAGCACCTACGGCTTCATCAACATGATGCCATTCAAGATCTCCATCTTCATGAACCAAATCTGGAGAATCATCAACCCATTCATTGTCCCATTGAAATTCTTCAAGAACTAAGGGATTAAAATTGCTTCCTTCTTCCCGTCGCTTTTGAAAGCGATGTGCATTCTTCCGATTATATTGAACATACACTAAATCGTTTAGCCTTTTGTGCTTTAGTCTATTTCTTTTCTTAGTATGAATCTAAAAGAAAAAAAAAACAAACAAATTAACAAAAACTTTATATCAAAAACTAAAAATTATTATTAAAATATTAATATAAGTAAATTTTGAATGAATTTACTTACAAATTCAAATGTGCTCCAATTGCGCTCACAACTGGCAGAAGAGTAGCATAGACTAATAGTTCGTACGGTAAGTAATCGAAGCTCTTCGTTGTCACCACTATATGCATCCCACCAATCAACTAATATATATATATATAAAGAATATATTAAATATTTGAAATTAAGTTTCGTAGAAAATAAAAAATATATACGTTAAAAAAAACTTACGAGAACTCTTTTGCATTTGGTGTTTGATTGCTAATTGACGGCCAAAGCTTCCTCGCATTTTATCGTAATCATCTGCTTGACCACTAATCTTATCCGTCAACTCTTCATCTTTGACCATCTTTTCTAGAACATCATTAAACACTTGACGTTGCTTACGGGCAAATACGGGATCACTTCTTTTCAATTCAAAATATTTTGAAGGATTTAGGAATAGTGCAGCCCCATATAACTTCACCTCCATTTGATCTCTCCATCGATCCTCAATTATTTCCATCAACTTGGCCAAAAATCTTGTTTTGTTGTTGCTCGTAAAAGATTCAGATATTTTCTTCTTCGCATGATTCATAGCCGAGGAAAGCTCGGGCATGGCTGGCTTTTCATCACCATCAACTATCCTCAAAACAATAAAAAGAGGAAGTGTTGCCCGTAAACAATCTTCTACTTGATCCCAAAATTTTTATGAAAAAATGGTTTCCATCACTTTTTCCCCTTTTGACGTTTTCGACAGCTTATTATTACTCCAATCATCACTTACAAATAACCGCCTCAATTCATTCCTGTGTTTGTTCAAACTCTACAAAGTGAGAAATGCAGTAGCAAATCTAGTAGTCGTTGGCCTCACCAGATCTCTGCCACCAGTCTTTTCCCTTATTGCACTTAGAAGTCTCCCATGTCGATAAATAAACGTGGTGACATCTCTAGCCTTTTGAATGTAGGGTTTAAATTTATTCATTTTCCCAATATCTTCTAGCATAAGATCGATACAATGGGCCGCACAGGGTGTCCAAAAAAGACCAGGAATGCGTTGTTCTAATAGTCTTCCCGCTGCTATATAATTTGCTCCATTATCCGTCACAATTTGCACAATATATTCCTTGCCAATTTCTTCAACTTTTTTCTCAAGAAAATCAGCCAACATTTTTGCATCATGTGACTCCACTGATGCATCAATAGACTCTAAGAAAAAAGTTCCCTCTGGACTATTGACAAGAAAATTTATCAAGTGTCGTCCTCTTTTGTCTGTCCACCCATCTGACATAAGGGAACACCCATACTGCTTCCAAGCTTCCATGTGCCTTTTCTTTCAACTTATTTGTTACATCTATGGCATCCTTAAGATATGGTTCCCGCAACTCATGATAACTAGTAAGTTTTAAACCGGAACCATACTGTCCAACGGCCTCAATCATAATCTCGTAACTTCTTGATTTGGAAGCATTGAATAGAATGCCATTTTCGTAGAAAAAGTCAGCAATATGCCTTTTCACTTCTCTCGTTTCCTCTTTTCCTTTTGTAGAAGCTTCGATGGTTTTCTTAATATAACCCCCTATATGTCTTTCTTCAACAATCTCTTCAGGAGTCTTTCGAATCATTGCAGCAATTAACTTACTTTGTTTTTCAACTCTCGGAGGTTCAGAAAACTTTAGAGTTGATTGAGCCAACTTTCTTTTGCTACTTGTTCCTGAACTCGGACGCAAAAAAGAGTGGGATGATGAATTTGTAACACCCAAATATTGATCCTTCTCTAATTCTTCATTGGCTTCATTATCCTCAAAACAATCAAACTCTGTAGTTCGTGAAGTTTTGTTCATATCCTTTTTGCTCATAAATAGATGTATCTCCTTGCGAATTTCTTCCGTGGTGTTTGGACATTTGACAACATCACCATAGTTGCCAACTAGATGTTGTTTCAGCTTTTTTACTCCCGAATGCATTTTCCTATGGCAAAGAGTGCACTCAATTAAATCTTTATTAGTCAAATCCGGCCAAAATCCATACTTTCATCCCGAATCCGATGATTTAGTTTTTCTTGCTGGATCTTTTGACAAATCTTGAATACTTTCGTTTTCAGCCATAGAATTAAAACTAGTAAAAATAAAAAATATATATATTAAAAAAATATCATATTATCAAGAAAAAATAAATACATATAAACAATATAAAAATCAAGAACGTAATGTTTCAATAATAATCTCAATATAATAAAATAATTTAAATAACTTAAGATATAAGATATAAATTATACAATACATAAAAAGAAAACAAAAAACAAAAGAAAAGAAAAGAAAAAGTACTATCACTGAGACACCCACTACTAACTACACACGTAATATATAAATATATTCAGATATATAAATATATTATTATTTAACAAGTCAGGCACTCTCATCCATTCAATTCAACTTTCTTCCACCAGAATTTCTTTCCACCACCGAACAGTACAAACATAACAAAACGTAACTTGACTTACTTTGACGGCGAGGAAGGGAGA